GAAAGTTTGACCAAGAAACAGTTGGAACTAGCCAAATTTAAATTAAAACCAGCCACGGGCGTAACCTCCTCTGGACCAGCCAGTAGGTTCAGACCGGTTCTTGAGGAGGCAGTTGATTTACTTAAACAAGATCTTTTTCTGAGTGATTCATCTGATTCGGAGTCAGAAGCAGAAGGAAAGCAGGGGAGTCGGAACCACCGAGACCTAGCCTATTTATCCAGTTCAACCCACACTATCTGTTTAGACGAGAAAGAGTACTAGGAGAAATGAACACTGTTATTACATTACAATTTATTTAGCAACAAAGACTGGTTAAAAGCAATTATATTCAAGGCAGTTATCTACCCGTTCTATTTCGATCTTTGTACATACGTCATAATTCTAAGTTATCCTCCCGAAGAGTACTTCAGGGGGTATGTTTACTGAAAATATTGTCCTGATGAAGACCTTGCGATAAGGTCGAAACTAGTAGACAGTAAAGTTTCTACTTAATGATATAAGCTTGAGTATGTTGCGGTTTTTATTCTTTGATTATAATTAGTTTATTTGTCTATAACTGCCCTGCATACCTCAGGTATCCATACTCAACGCGAACTACCCATCCAAAATACCCTCCGAGATCCACCTGACGTTGGCTCCTCCGCTATAGTTTCTTTAAGTTAGATAACAGTATTGTTACAGCAGTACTGTTATTGTACTGGAGTAGTAGTGGTGTGTACATCAGGTTAGGTAACAGTATTGTTACAGCAGTACTGTTATTGTACTGGAGTAGAAGTTGTGTGTACATCAGGTTAGATAACAGTATTGTTACAGCAGTACTGTTATTGTACTGAAGTAGTAGTGGTGTGTACATCAGGTTAGGTAACAGTATTGTTACAGCAGTACTGTTATTGTACTGGTGTAGTAGTGGTGTGGAATAATTTATTCGTTGGAACACTGGCCATTTTTAAAATTGAAAAAAAAATGTAAATTTTGAAATCTGTTGACCATAATGTGATCACGATTACTGTTGTTTTTCTCTGGGATAAAAATTTATAGAATTTTGGGTGAGGTGTCCATTGATAAAAAAATTTTTCAACATAATTTGCAGATTATATATGTGATTAAATTGATTTAAACAAGTGTTTTATGCCATTTTTATCAGATAGGTGATGGTGTTTTAAACTAAGGGTGCAGACAGAATTCTGGGAATTTTTTTTTAATTGTTCTGGAGTTAGATGCACTAACAAATGATTCAATGTATATGGGACATAATACTTACAACAGAGAAAATAATGAAAGGTTATTAGAGATCATCACTCCTCTGTAAACTGTTCTAGTTTGATAGTAGCCAGATGGTCAGAGATTACTAAGTGCAGCTAGTACAGATGACCTCACACCTTATCAGCAAACCAAAGTCGATCTACTCAACAAACATGTCAGCAAATTGCACACAAGGACATAAAGTTCACAGCTTAATGAGTACACCTGTCTTACTACAGGTTAATGAGTGCAGTGCACCTGTCTGATACAGGTTATGAGTACAGTACACCTGTCTGATACAGGTTATGAGTACAGTACACCTGTCTGATACAGGTTATGAGTACAGTACACCTGTCTGATACAGGTTATGAGTACAGTTCACCTGTCTGATACAGGTTAATGAGTACAGTACACCTGTCTGATACAGGTTATGAGTACAGTACACCTGTCTACCTACAGGTTATGAGTACAGTTCACCTGTCTACCTACAGGTTATGAGTACAGTTCACCTGTCTACCTACAGGTTATGAGTACAGTACACCTGTCTACCTACAGGTTATGAGTACAGTTCACCTGTCTACCTACAGGTTATGAGTACAGTACACCTGTCTACCTACCGGTTATGAGTACAGTTCACCTGTCTACCTACAGGTTATGAGTACAGTTCACCTGTCTACCTACAGGTTATGAGTACAGTACACCTGTCTGATACAGGTTATGAGTACAGTTCACCTGTCTACCTACAGGTTATGAGTACAGTTCACCTGTCTACCTACAGGTTATGAGTACAGTACACCTGTCTACCTACAGGTTATGAGTACAGTTCACCTGTCTACCTACAGGTTATGAGTACAGTACACCTGTCTACCTACCGGTTATGAGTACAGTTCACCTGTCTACCTACAGGTTATGAGTACAGTTCACCTGTCTACCTACAGGTTATGAGTACAGTACACCTGTCTTACTACAGGTTATGAGAACAGTACACCTGTCTGATACAGGTTATGAGTACAGTACACCTGTCTGATACAGGTTATGAGTACAGTTCACCTGTCTACCTACAGGTTATGAGTACAGTTCACCTGTCTACCTACAGGTTATGAGTACAGTACACCTGTCTACCTTCAGGTTATGAGTACAGTACACCTGTCTGATACAGGTTATGAGAACGATACACCTGTCTACCTACAGGTTATGAGTACAGTACACCTGTCTGATACAGGTTATGAGTACAAAACACCTGTCTGATACAGGTTATGAGTACAGTTCACCTGTCTACCTTCAGGTTATGAGTACAGTACACCTGTCTGATACAGGTTATGAGAACAATACACCTGTCTACCTACAGGTTAATGAGTACAGTACACCTGTCTTACTACAGGTTATGAGAACAATACACCTGTCTACCTACAGGTTTTGAGTACAGTACACCTGTCTGATACAGGTTATGAGAACAATACACCTGTCTTACTACAGGTTATGAGAACAATACACCTGTCTTACTACAGGTTATGAGAACAGTACACCTGTCTGATACAGGTTATGAGAAAAATACACCTGTCTTACTACAGGTTATGAGAACAATACACCTGTCTTACTACAGGTTATGATAACAGTACACCTGTCTGATACAGGTTATGAGAACAATACACCTGTCTGATACAGGTTATGAGTACAGTTCACCTGTCTACCTTCAGGTTATGAGTACAGTACACCTGTCTGATACAGGTTATGAGAACAATACACCTGTCTACCTACAGGTTAATGAGTACAGTACACCTGTCTTACTACAGGTTATGAGAACAATACACCTGTCTACCTACAGGTTTTGAGTACAGTACACCTGTCTGATACAGGTTATGAGAACAATACACCTGTCTTACTACAGGTTATGAGAACAATACACCTGTCTTACTACAGGTTATGAGAACAATACACCTGTCTTACTACAGGTTATGAGAACAATACACCTGTCTTACTACAGGTTATGAGAACAGTACACCTGTCTGATACAGGTTATGAGAACAATACACCTGTCTGATACAGGTTATGAGTACAGTTCACCTGTCTACCTTCAGGTTATGAGTACAGTACACCTGTCTGATACAGGTTATGAGAACAATACACCTGTCTTACTACAGGTTATGAGAACAATACACCTGTCTTACTACAGGTTATGAGAACAGTACACCTGTCTGATACAGGTTATGGGCACAGTACTCCTGTTTGTTTCAGGTGATGAGTAGAGTACACCTGTCTGATACAGGTTATGAGTACAGTTCACCTGTCTAACTACAGGTTATGAGTATAGTTCACCTGTCTACCTACCTACAGGTTAATGAGTACAGTTCACCTGTCTACCTACAGGTTAATGAGTACAGTTCACCTGTCTCAATACAGGTTAATAGTTAGAAAAATCCTTGTCAGTGCCCTATTGGATTCATTCCTAGAGGTATTTGATACAAGGAATGAATTAGAATTTCAGGATTGAAGTTGTGATATCAATTAAATGTGTCTGGAACCATGAATGGATTTTTAGCCCACCATCTAATAGATTCAATTCAAATCGCCCTACGTCTGTGGTCCGTCGTCAGGTGGCTATCTTGGATTTTGGATGTAAAAGTTTGTTACTGCTATTTCTTGGAAAGTACCGGATGGATCTTTCTCAAATTTCATATGCAGGGGTCCCTTGGTCCCTAGTTGTGCATTGTACCTTTTTTGGACTGATTCGAATTCAAGATGGCCGACAGGTGGCCATCTTGGATTTTGGATGTAAAAGTTTGTTACCGCTATTTCTTGGAAAGTACTGGATGGATCTTTCTCAAATTTCATATGCAGGTTCCCCTTGGTCCCTAGATGTGCATTGTATCTTTTTTGGACTGATTCGAATTCAAGATGGCCGACAGGCAGCCATCTTGGATTTTGGAAGTAAAAGTTTGTTACTGCTATTTCTTGGAAAGTGCTGGATGGATCTTTCTCAAATTTCATATGCAGTTTCCCCTTGGTCCCTAGTTGTGCATTGTACCTTTTTTGGACTGATTCGAATTCAAGATGGCAGACAGGTGGCCATCTTGGATTTTGGAAGTAAAAGTTTGTTACTGCTATTTCTTGGAAAGTACTGGATGGATCTTTCTCAAATTTCATATGCAGGTTACCTTTGGTTCCAAGTTGTGCATTATACCTTTTTGGACTGATCCGAAATCAAGATGGCTGACAGGCAGCCATCTTGGATTTTGAGAGTAAAATCTTGTTACTGCTATATCTGAGGAAGTACTGGATGGATCCTTCTGATATTTCATAGATATTGGTTTCCCTTGGTCCCTAGTTGTGCATTGTACCTTTTTTGGACTGATTTGAAATCAAGGTGGCCCACAGGCAGCCATCTTGGATGTCGACAGTAATACAGCACAAGCATATTGTCCATTATCCAACTGTAACTGACTGCTATCTAATAATACTTTGGGATCTTTTTCAAATGATATTTGCTAATAGGTGCTTAATAAAAATATCTTGTGCCATCATTGAGTACATTCAATGAAGACCAGTTCATGAACATTTACAACACCTGTAACAAACAAACAAAAATAAACAAATCTTCAAGAACTGAAAACAGATCCTCAAATGGTGGGCGCCAAGATCCCTCTGGGATCTCTTGTTAGAATATGGGATTCCCTAAGTCTTCTGTCTACTTGCTATTTCCATGTTGATTATCTAATTATGTCTGTCTACCTGTTTAAACTTAATTTTCTACTTTCCAGTTCAGTGTTACCAGTGCTCTCACTGCAACAAGAGATATTCCACAGAAAGGCTATTACGGGATCACGTCCGACACCATGGTAAGATCAGTTTTTTTTTATATCTATATAATTTACTCTCTGCTAACCTCTAACTCTCCCCTTAACCTTGTTAGTTAGTAAGCTTATACCATGGTGTTCATCTTCTCAAAACCTCCTGATATTTTACTGGGAGGTTCCTTAGATGATGCCACATAAAATTTGTAAAATGAAAGGACCTTAACTTTTATTCAAGGTCATAGGGTCAGACATGAAAATCTCTCAAAACATCTGTTTAATCTAAGGCTTTGTTGATCCCGGAGGTTAACTTGGTAGTTTATTAGGGTAAAGCTTGACAAAGTTTTGGAAAAGGCAGGAAATTGACCCATTATTCTAGGTGAATAGGATCTCTGGTTAGATGGATAAAGCATTAAGTGTTAAAAGCTTGTCTGTTTTAAAATGGTTTGAATTGGATTATTTTAGACCCATTTTGGAGGTCAGTGAATAAAGTTTAAGGTTTATTAGCAGTGAAAACAAGGTAATTCACTTGGGGTTTTTTCTCTTCTGCTTCACTTTTGTCCTAGGTTGTTCTCATTGACAGGTAGTGTGACCATACTGTTGTCACATGATCATACTGTTGTGATGTGACCATACTGTTGTGATGTGACCATAATGTTGTGATGTGACCATACTGTTGTGATGTGACCATGCTGTTGTGATGTGACCATACTGTTGTGATGTGACCATACTGTTGTGATGTGACCATACTGTTGTGATGTGACCATAACGTTGAGATGTGACCATACTATTGTGATGTGAACATACTGTTGTGATGTGACCGTAATGTTAGGATGTGACCGTAATGTTGAGATGTGACCATACTGTTGTGATGTGACCATACTGTTGTTATGTGACCATACTGTTGTGATATGACCATACTGTTGTGATGTGACCATACTGTTGTGATGTGACCATACTGTTGTGATGTAACCATACTGTTGTGATGTGTCCATACTGTTGTAATGTGGTCTTACTGTTGTGATGTGACCATACTGTTGTCATGTGACCATACTGTTGTGATGAGACCATACTGTTGTCATGTGACCATACTATTGTGATGTGATCATACTGTTGTCATGTGACCATAATGTTGTGATGTGACCATACTGTTGTGATGTAACCATACTGTTGTGATGTGACCGTACTGTTGTGATGTGACCATACTGTTTTGATGTATACTGTTGTTATGTGACCATACTTTTGTGAAGTGACCATACTGTTGTGATGTGACCATACTGTTGTGATGTGACCATAATGTTGTGATGTGACCATACTGTTGTGATGTAACCATACTGTTGTGATGTGACCATGTTGTTGTGATGTGACCATACTGTTGTTATGTGACCATACTGTGGTGATGTGACCATACTGTTGTGGTGTGACCATAACGTTGAGATGTGACCATACTGTTTTGATGTGACCATACTGTTGTGATGTGACCATGATGTTGTGACATGATCGTTCTGTTGTGATGTGACCATACTGTTGTGATGTGACCATACTGGTACACATGATATGACCATCCTGTTGTGATATGACCATACTGTTGTCACCTGATCATACTGTTGTGATGTGACCATACTGTTGTGATGTGACCATACTTTTGTGATGTGACCATACTGTTGAGATGTGACCATACTGTTGTGATATGACCATACTGTTGTGATATGACCATACTGTTGTCACATGATCATACTGTTGTGATGTGACCATACTGTTGTGATGTGACAATACTTTTGTGATGTGACCATACTGTTGTGATGTGATCATACTGTTGTGATGTGACCATACTTTTGTGATGTGACCATACTGTTGTGATGTTACTATACTGTTGTGATGTGATCGTACTGTTGTGATGTGATGTGACCATACTGTTGTGATGTGACCGTACTGTTGTGATGTGACAATACTGTTGTGATGTGACCATACTGTTGTGATGTGACCATACTGTTGTGATGTGATCATACTGTTGTGATATGACCATACTGTGGTGTTGTGACCATACTGTTGTGATGTTACTATACTATTGTGATGTGATCGTACTGTTGTGATGTGATGTGACCATACTGTTGTGATGTGACCATACTGTTGTGATGTGACAATACTGTTGTGATGTGACAATACTGTTGTGATGTGACCATACTGTTGTGATGTGACCATACTGTTGTGATGTGACCTTACTGGTGTGATGTGACCATACTGTTGTGATGTTATCGTACTGTTGTGACTTGACACCATACTGTTGTGATGTGATCATACTGTTGTGATATGACCATACTGTGGTGTTGTGACCATACTGTGACCATATTGTTGTGATGTATACTGTTGTGATGTGACCATACTGTTGTGATGTAACCATACTGATGTGATGTAACCATACTGTTGTGATGTGACCATACTGATGTGATGTAACCATACTGTTGTGATGTGACCATACTGTTGTGATGTGACCATACTGTTGTGATGTAACCATACTGATGTGATGTGACCATACTGTTGTGATGTGACCATACTGTTGTGACTGATAGTTCTCTATTGTATTTACAGTAAACCAGTACAAATGTCCATGTTGTGAGATGACGTGTCCCACGCCTTCAGGTCTCAAGTCTCATCTACGCTACAGACACACAAATGACAAACCTTTTAAGTGTCAACATTGTGAACATTGGTAAGTCAAGTTAATACAGACCCTACAAATTAAGTAAGGTCTAAGGTTAATCTTACAATTGTTGTGATCACAAGTAAGATTTGATTGTAGCATTAAATAGGCCTTTTGTTGTTTACCGATGATAATCTTCAGTCTGAACTTCTAGGCTGATAAGTCAGGGACATAAAGTAAATAAACAACACCTGTTTCTGATTTTTTGGTAACCATGGAAAGTACCTGTTTCTGATTGTTAGGTAACCATGGAAAGGACCTGTTTCCGGGTTAGTATTCAGTAAAGTTAACAACAAATATCCTGTCAGTCTGTACCAGGATTGATCTCCAATAGAACCTGACTTAGGTCTCATGCTGTAGAATGACCCTTTATCTTGATGTTATCAAAGTTGCTAAGCAGTGTATAGGCTGATATCCTACCTCTAGTCGGACATCAAATTAACATGTAATCCTAAAAAAAAAGGCAGGAATCCAGAATTTTCAACAGTTGATTCCTATATGTTAGACTTATCATTGCTGTTTTGTGTTTATACCCATCATGCTCTCTGTTTTTAGTTGTAAGACTGCTGCGGATTTACGTAAACACATGGATAGCCATACGGTGGAGGTGCCATTCCGTTGTCATGTGCCAAATTGTGACTATGGGGCTCGTAATTACAGTAGCCTGTCGAACCACTTCAAACGGACGCACCAGGTAAAGTTCAGTGAAATAGAAATTGGAAATCCTGGTCAGATTTATGCCATGAACCAAGTTTATCCAGCAACAAGCCTGTGTCTTGTAATAAGCCTGTGTCTGATAATAAGTCTATGTCTAGTAATAAGCCCAGGTCTGGTAATAAGTCCAGGTCTTGTGATAAGTCGGTGTCTGGTAATAAGTCCAGGTCTTGTGATAAGTCGGTGTCTGGTAATAAGTCCAGGTCTTGTGATAAGCCGGTGTCTGGTAATAAGCCGGTGTCTGGTAATAAGTCCATGTCTAGTAATACACCCAGGTCTGGTAATAAGCCCATTTCTGGTAATAAGCCCACCCATATAATGTTGTGTAGGAGAAATAAGAATCACTGTTAAAGTTGATATATTCTTTTGAGTTCTGTAATTAAGAAATCAAATCAAATCGAGAACAAAAAAAAACAAAAACAGAAAAAAAAAACGATGTTTATTTTATTTTCTTCAGATAGTTTGAACTGATTTTGGATAATATTTTCATAGCTTTTCCGTCTGGTGAAGTGTACACTTTGTCCACATATCCTTGACAATGGGTTTGGTGCATGCAAAATATTTTCTAATATTTTCATAATAGTGCACAAGAATCGGACGAATGGAATTATGTTATATGTTTTAATGTTTTTCTGGGCTCAGTTCGCAAATACCTGTGCCAGTGGTAATTCCTCGTTCTGGAACTTCCAATTGTTTCAATTGTACATTTTGCACCAGTGATTTGATGGAAAATGTTTAAAAATTTTGAAAGTGTTCGATTGTTTTGCATGTGATGGATGAAAGCTGGCATTAAAGTAACAAATATATATATTATCAACATGTTCAGTCTTTTTATAGTAATATCAGTACTTCAGTTGCATCTTGTTTACAAAACAATTATTGTGAATGCAAAATTTCATCATTGTGCAAATTTGCCTGGAAGTGATAATTACACCAATTAAGGATGTTAACAGGAAGTCCTTCCACTGACACTTGAGTTAGAGGTACTGTGATGGCTGTTTAGTATTAGAACAGGTTAGGCACAGGAAACAACAATATGTCATTTTTATGTAAGATGTCTAAACTATTATGTGTACATGTGACTAAACCAGCCATTGAACTAGCATCAGCAGTTATTGATCCTGGTATCATTTAGTTTAGTTGAATATGATTATATCCAAAATATTTATATCTATTTATAGAATATGTATACCATATCCACCTGGTAATAGACCCTAGGGAAAATTTTGTGTGGGGATGAGGGGATGGCCAGGCTGTGGGCCCCTAAAAATAAAACTTAACCCCTCAATTTTCTTTTTAATGTAGGATGGCTCACCTTAAGTGTATATTTTCAGTTTTAATAAAATTGCTGAAAACAGCCCATTATACATGTTAGCACCCTAGACTTTCTCTAAGTCTGCTATTGTTTAATAATACCTGCAAACAATTGCTGTTTCATTGTCCAGTAGTAAGCCTTATCCCTACTTCATGTCAAATTTGAGGTCTTTGTTTCTTCAGCTTATTAATGAATACAGAGAAAAGTTCTATTTTAAATATGTGAATTTACAAAGCAGTAAATCGACAAATGTGAATATTTTATTAATTTTACTAATTAATGTTTTTCAGTCAGCAGCAATAGAAAAACATTCTTAACCAAACTGAATAATTTTTCCTTATGATGAAGTATCAGAACCTACATATTCTCATATGATATTAAGTTTGTTCAAGAATGTGCTGTTTAGTTTCTGAGTGGAAAAGCATTCAAAATCTGTCAAACCTACCTGAAATTTCAAATTTCACTAGTTTCTGCAAATTTCAGATGGTTACCATAGCAACCATACCTGAAATAGAGAATAAATTAATAGAATGAATATTGTTGGCAGTTTGATTCTTCAGGATACTTAATATAAATTTTGTGATAAAACAAAGGAAAATGTTAAGGTAACAATTATGAAGAATTACAACCAATCATTGCATCAGATGAGGTAAACGAATCGACAATTTAATATATATCATAGCATTGTTCCTTCACTTGTTTCACTAGCATTATTAATTTGAAATATGATTTAATAGTTTAATCATGGGTTTCAAAATTGAGGCCAGAAAAGGCCAAATTGATACATAGTCCTTTTCAAAATTATCCATAATTGAGATTGGGGATACATATGCTAATAGCAGTGATTAATGCTCTTGTCTAAAATTGTTGTCAGGAAGTGGATGTCCAGAAGTATGCTTGCCATGTTTGTAAGTCAGTGTTCAGCCGTGGATCAAAGTTAACTGTACATCTGAAGAAACGCCACAAGTTCCGATGGCCATCTGGTCATTCTAGGTTCAGGTAAGGCAGCATTATCAGTGTATAGAGTGTGACATACTTAGATGACAAAGATGACAAGAGCGCCCTGCATCCCTTTGGGATCCACTGGGACCTAGAAAATGAACTTTTCCTGATCTACACCAGAATGGATGTTGGTTCTTAGGAGTTTTTTCCCCACTTATTTATTTAGATGACAAAGGTTCATAACATGACAGGTGTCACCAATTTAGCAGAAGATGCCTTCCCTTCCAGAACACCTGGTCTTATTCCCCCTGTCAGTTGATGGGTCACCGTGTATGTTATTCTTTTGTTTGTATTTTGCTATTGTCTAGTTTTTACCTCTAAAATATTCTTTTAGATGTTACAAGGACAACTGTAAAGAAAACTTGTACAATTTCCTTGCAAAGATAACCTTGACCTTAATGGATGGGCTGTTCACATAGCCAATAGTCAGTGGTTTGTTGTGTGTCGATCATCTGTCCTTGAGCAAGTTATCGCTGTTTCTCTAGAAGTAACAGACAGACCATTTTTTACTTAAAGATGAAGGTAAACCATGGTCTGTTGTTGTGCATTTTTGATTTTTGGAGTGATCAGAAAAACAGTATGGTTGACAGGTAGCCATCTTAGATTTTGACAATGAAAGTTTGTTATTGCAATCTCTAGAGGTGTATTGAAGTTGGTATGTAGGTTCCCCTTGGTCTGTAGCTATGTCCTATTTATTTTGACGACTAGAAAAATAAAATGGCTGAAAGAGGCCATCATTAATTTTGAAAAATTAAAGTTTATCGTCGCTATTTCTCCGTAAGTGCTGGTTAGATCTTCCTGAAATGTCATGTGCACATTTCTTTTGCTCTATGTCCTTCTGAATTTGAGACTGATCAATACAACAAAATGGCTGACATATGGCCATTTTGGATTTTGACCATGAAAAATGTTTATCGTTATTTCCGCAGAGGAATCTTTTAATTTCATTCAATAAAAAGCAAGAACAGAGGAAAGATTAGATCAAAAAGGAAAAGATCGAACAAGGATCAAAACCAAGCTATAGTGGTTCTCTTTAGGATCTCTTGTCGCTATTTTTGATGGTCAAATAAAACTTACTACGAAAATTTATATTTAAAAAAAAACAAATGGAATGTATGTTATTTGTTTCTTGAATTTTAACTCTCAAAAACAACATGTTTAGTATATCTTTTACTTCAATGGGTTTTTTGCTTGTTTTTTTTTTTTTTTTTTGTCAAGTTTGCTATGATGAGTTACTTCCCTTGTATGACTTGTGTTTACAGATACAAACTACATGATGATGGGTACTGGAGATTACAGACGGTACGCTATGAGAGCATACAGCTCACAGAACAGGTAACAGATGATTCTAACCCAACATCTGATCCAAAAGAGCCGTCATCATCAACTAATTCTCAGTCATCACATGCAGCAGGGTCTGTGGAACAGGAACAGTCTACTGCCATGGAAACAGGTGATCCTGAAAACAATGTACAAAATTATGAGGTTGCTATGGTAACAAATGCTGGTGATACAGCGCCACAGGCGGAGGGAGAAGAGTCTGTGACTTATATTGCTATGCCTGTTGTAGACAGTACCAAGACTGGAGAAGGTGATTTAGGGACAGAGCCTGTCGCTACCATAACCGATATCAGGATTGTGTCTTCAGATTACGCTGCACATCCTAACACTGACACAATAGTCTCATCCTCATCACAGCCTTTATCTGAAACTGGGTGTGTCATAAACATTCCCTCTGGGGACAGGAGTCAGGACAAAATACAGACCATGAAAGTTGGTTATGGTACAAAAGATCAAGAGAATGAACTTGAAATGTCTTACAACCTTGAAATGCTTGGATATGTTGCCATGCAAGCTACAAACCAAACAACAGAACAGGGTTCCTCAAAATCTGGGGCCGAAACTGAATTACAGTCAAGTCCTGGGAAAGCTGGTTGCTATAAAACTCTAAGGAGTGAGGATCTGTAAGCAACTGAAACAAAGGTTACATGATTTGTGGTGTCAATCACAGGATTTGTGCTCCAGATAGGAAGTCAATCACAGGATTTGTGCTCCAGATAGGAAGTCAGTCACAGGATTTGTGCTCCAGATAGGAAGTCAGTCACAGGATTTGTGCTCCAGATGGGAAGTCAGTCACAGGATTTGTGCTCCAGATGGGAAGTCAATCACAGGATTTGTGCTCCAGATGGGAAGTCAATCACAGGATTTGTGCTCCAGATGGGAAGTCAATCACAGGATTTGTGCTCCAGATAGGAAGTCAATCACAGGATTTGTGCTCCAGATGGGAAGTCAATCACAGGATTTGTGCTCCAGATAGGAAGTCAATCACAGGATTTGTGCTCCAGATGGGAAGTCAATCACAGGATTTGTGCTCCAGATGGGAAGTCAATCACAGGATTTGTGCTCCAGATGGGAAGTCAATCACAGGATTTGTGCTCCAGATAGGAAGTCAGTCACAGGATTTGTGCTCCAGATAGGAAGTCAGTCACAGGATTTGTGCTCCAGATAGGAAGTCAATCACAGGATTTTTGCTCCAGATAGGAAGTCAATCACAGGATTTTTGCTTTAGTAAAGAAAACTGTCACAGGATTTGTGCTTCAGTTATGGTGATTAACAAAACTTGTCACAGAATTTCACAAGATGCAAATAAAAAATTTGAGTTTACTTGATGTTATGTCGTGAATTTACCTCCTGTAATACATTTCAGTACATCCAGTTATTATGATAATTGTTTCAAAGGATAAAGTTATCTCGGTGGGAAAGATTACTGCAAAATCATTAATTTTTGTGAGTGATTTATTTTCATTGATTACTCTAAATCCAGGTATTCATATGTCCACTTAATATTTAAATGAATAGATTTGTTGAACTATATTTATCCACAAAAACAATTGCCCACAAAAAAGTAATAGATTTTTGAAGAAACGCAAAATTCAAGCCCCACAAAAATAAATGTTTTTTTCAGTAGGAACCAGCTGACTGCAGACCATAATATTGCACTTGTTAGGTGTGGATAATGCACCCAACCATAAAACAGTCGTGTTAAGTAATTTCCCATTTGTCATAGTTATATATTTATTTCATGTTGGAGTTATGTCTCCTTTATAACATCTGATTGATGGTTAGGTTATATGACCAGTGATAAAGAGTTATGTCCCTTTATAACATCTGATTGATGGTTAGGTCATTAAAAATGACCAGTAAACTTCAAAGATATTTTGTTGTTTAACTTAATAGTTAGTATAAACATGATTCAAAGAGTTATGTCCCTCTTATAACATCTGAATATAAGTCATGATTAGGTCATATATATTATCATAGATATATTACAATATCAGTGAGAAAGAGTTATGTCCCTTTATAACATGTGATTGATGATTAGGTCATATGACCAGTGAAGAGTTATGTCCCTTGATAACAACTGATTGATGATTAGGTCATATGACAAGTGATAAAGAGTTATGTCCCTTGATAACATCTGATTGATGATTAGGTCATATGACCAGTGATAAAGAGTTATGTCCCTTTAGAACATCTGATTGATGATTAGGTCATATGACCAGTGATAAAGAGTTATGTCCCTTTATAACATCTGATTGATGATTAGGTCATATGACCAGTGAGAAAGAGTTATGTCCCTTTATAACAACTGATTGATGATTAGGTCATATGACCAGTGAAGAGTTATGTCCCTTTATAACAACTGATTGATGATTAGGTCATATGACCAGTGATAAAGAGTTATGTCCCTTTAGAACAGCTGATTGATGATTAGGTCATATGACCAGTGAGAAAGAGTTATGTCCCTTTAGAACATCTGATTGATGATTAGGTCATATGACCAGTGATAAAGAGTTATGTCCCTTTATAACATCTGATTGATGGTTTGGTCATATGACCAGTGAGAAAGAGTTATGTCCCTTTATAACATCTGATTGATGATAGGTCATATGACCAGTGAGATAGAGTAATGTCTCTTTAGAACATGTGATTGATGGTTAGGTCATATGACCAGTGATAAAGAGTTATGTCCCTTTATAACATCTGATTGATGATTAGGTCATATGACCAGTGATAAAGAGTTATGTCCCTTTATAACATCTGATTGATGATTAGGTCATATGACCAGTGATAAAGAGTTATGTCCCTTTATAACATCTGATTGATGATTAGGTCATTGGTTCACTGATATTTGGATGTTTCTGCTGATTAGTACAGCTGAATTGATGTTGATTTTATTGTAAATAAACAAATATTGGGTGAGTTTTTATGTGTATGTGAATGGGTTTTTTCTGCTGCGATTAACATATTACATTTCTTAGCAGAATTTTTTAGCTCTCCTGGTCTAAAGGGCTGGTGAGCTGATGCCATGGCCCAGTATTTGTCAACTTTTCAGATGCTGGGAATCATTATCTGTAGTTGACCTGACCTTTCCCTACCAAAACAAACTGACAGCACACATGTTCTTCCGCCTATGTAAATAAGTGTATTTGAACTTTATATCATATCTTTGAGACTGTCATGTGGTTGGTAACATTATAACGAGATAAAGGAATTAAAAGGAATGAGTATAATAACGTGTATTTCAGACTTATTCCAGTAGATATTACTACGCTTCGTTACCTTTACTTCCCAAGGTGTAAGAAACTTGAGCTTTTGCGTAATTATGGACAAGGGGAGAATACTCAGGAAGGGGAAAAAAGAAATAATAATTTCAATGTTCATATGTTTCTTCATGAGTTATACGAGAATAATTATACTAGTTGGTAAACTTTACATCCACTCTTTAAACCTGATAAGTTTTTACCCGGCCTCTCCGTTTATACTTTTCTTCTCTGTAATTTTTACTATCACATATTGACCTGCGGTACTGAGGTAGAGTAACCTGACTAATGCTCAAATGGGAATAGTGTTCGAACACTTATTTCCTTTTTGGTTCTCATTCCTCAAAGCGACCGACTTGTCCACTCCTGATACATGGTAACTATGGGATGTGGGTACTTTTCTACCTGTCATAAGTAAAGCCCTTAAACAAAGAGATTGTAATATGAATTCAAACACATGATAGCACAGATGATTGCACAGCTGACCCTGCTGTGTATGTCAAGTGTCAGTATAAACGCTGTTTCCTGAAAGATTTGCGTGTTTCAATTTGAAGGTATTCTGGACAAAATCTAGCTAAATATCTTACTTAAAAATCATTGCATCAAAACTGGGTTTAATATGTGTTATAGTATAATTAAGGTATTGGTCCACATTTACTCTATAGAAACGCATGCTGATCTAGGATCAATGCCAAATGTTCATTTATCTTGTGTTTTTCAACCATAATAATGACCTAGAAATATTGTGGAATTTGTGTAGAAAAGGTCCAAATACCAAAACATAAACAACATCACAACAACATTGTAAATATTTGATATTTCAATGAGGTGTTTGAACATTGACTCTGACATAGACTTAAAGATGTCCGCCATTACACTGATGGTGTTTAACCAACTGCCTAAAACGTAGCAATGATTGTGTTTGACTTGGATATAGATGAAAATTTTTCATGACATGTTGCTCCTCAAATAATATTTTCAGACTTGTAAGTTTTTTTCAGATTTATGTATTGTTAAAATTTTGATAGAAGTTGGAAATGATTTTTCAAACATTTCTTGTGGTAATTAAGTCCTACCAGTGCAAAAATAAGATTTGTGAAGTCTATGATGGAGGCAATCAGGGGCGTAGCTTCCATCGAAAGAAAAAAACCCAGACTTACACATAAAAAAATCTGTGCATAGAGTATGTCGGACAAAATTACATAACTAAGGTTGATAATAAATAACAGGGGTTGAAGTTTGTTGTTAAATCAATAAAAAAGCTCTCAGAAAACGATTCAAAACATATTTGAAATAATGAAATTCATACCCCTCGTCTGGGCTTACACATTTCTGCTTGGCTAGCTACGCCCCTGGCAATGCAATGCACTACTTCAAACTATCTCTGTTTCGTTGTTGTATGGTCCATATCCTGAATAGGGATTTCTGTAAGCTGCCCTGTGTAAAATCTCAAGTTACTTCCCTCACTGACTGTTAATTACCTGTACATTCACGAATTTGTGAATACATTATTACAGATAATAGAATGATGACATAACAGATATGTAAACACAGGTTTCAACAATTTTAACATGAGAAGTTCTGAATTGATTGAAATTCTTACATTCCAGATGTTTGTCCTTGGTAAACCATGATGTATTTTGAGAATGATTAAGATATTTTGATATGAAATGTACTTTTTTGTAAGTACTGGCTAACAGGCAGTCTTCATGGACTTTTACAGTTCCTAATTTGAGAGTTGAGAATTACTGGATATATAATATCATGTATGATATGTTTTCCTTTGTCCCTGGATGAGCACAGATAAATTTTGGAACAAATTTCAAAGAAAAAAAATCCCAATTATGTTGCAATTTTTTTTTCACTATTCTCTTGTGTGTCTTGTGAAATCTCAAGGATCTATTTTTAGCTCACCTGGCATTGGCACAACACATAATCCCTCTCTAAACTTGTTCAACTTGAACATACCCTAGTCACTGTTCATTTTTTGTGACAATTTAAATCAACCAATGTTTCAACATTTAAATTACATATGTATGTTCATTTAGACCTACTTACCTTAGACATGCAAATGCATCATAGGTTATATCTAATATTATTTTTACTCTTCTTAAAACTATATTCTGATAACCACTTTCTTTATTTCTTTATTCCCATACATCATACACAGCATCTTAAAGTGTCTCTGGCTACCAGCCATGAACGACTGAACTGATTTCGACCAAAGTTTGTCAGCAGTATCCTTTGGGGAAGGGGAACCAAGTTTGTATATTGGTTCTCTACCCCCAAGATCTGGAGGGATGGGGCCCAAAATAAGAAATTTTGCGGGTTCTTTAAAATTCTTCTCCTCCAGTAGGAATAAATAAATGCTGTCCAAATTTGGTCTGAAGCATACATGGGTGAAGAGAAATCAGTCTTGTGTAGAGGTGAGGTCTCGGCCCCCTTGTGGTGGGAGGGACAGGCCCAATAGGGGAAATAGATTAAATTCTTTAAAATCCTCTTATAAGAAATAAATCGATATTGCCCAAATTTGGTCAGAAGCATTCTTAGGTAAAGTGGAATCAATCTAACATAGACATAAGGCATAAGGCCCCATGGGGAGGGAAGGCGGCGCCCAATAGGAGGAATAGAGTGAATTTTTTTAAATTCCTACTCCTCATGTAAGAAATAAATGGATATTGCCCAAATTTGGTCTGAAGCATTCTTGTGTAAAGTGATATCAATCTTGTATAGACATAAGGTCTCGGGGGCCCCTTTGGGTGGGAGGGCGTGGCCCAATAGTAGGAATAGAGTGAATTCTTTAAATTCCTACTTACCTTGTAAGGAATAAATAGATATTGCCCAAATTTGTTCAGAAGCATCCTTTGGTTATTCCGCTGAGGTACGTACATAAACAGCCCTAACATGACATGCCTTCTCAATGTTTACTGCGTCTAAGTCATGGAAACGATATTTTTCGAAAATCGTGAGCAGGGACAAGGAGATTCCAAAGATGATGTAGGCGTTCAAGATATATGTCGTAAGAAGGGGCTTTCCGTGACGTCAGAAAGCGCGTGTCGA